TTTTGTCTGCTTCCATGCACATAATTGGAACCTAAAGTTTGTAAACTTGTAATTTTTTTTACTTTTCTTTTTTACCCTTTTCACTTTTTTTCTTTTATTTCCCTTTACTTCCTATTGATTCAAAATAAAAGTAGAAGTCATGGTGAAAGTGGAGGAAAAGTAAACGTGAAGAATAATGCATTTTTCCTAGCTACTACTTTTTTTCCCTCCTACATTATCCAAACAGACTCTGAGAACTATTACTCAAAGAATTTATTTCTTTTATTTATTCTAGTTTTTCCTTTTTCCTTATAGTTATTTAGTCAGAATTTTGTTTTAATTAATGGAAAGTGAGAACCTACACTGTATTCTATTGTGATGATCACAAATTTAAATGAACCAATAAAAGAATAGATACTTTCAACCGTTTATTTTTTTTTTTACTCTAAAAGAAAAGTATAAAGTTAATCGGTACGTCTAAGAATGAACAAGGGGAAGAATTACTCAAAGAATATGAGTTGTGGCTAACATCCAAGGCATAAAAAAACATTTTTTTTATAAAATAAAATAAAATGGGATTAAGCCAATAACCACCTCGACCTAGCTAACTTTTGACTAGCACATCAACTTCCTAACAAAATGTCTACGATTGAAAATCACTCACATGGCAAGATTCAAATTCAAATTGGTTCCTAATCCTGATCAGAGACTATTGTATTTGCGTCAGACTTAGTCCAACAAAGAGGCAAAGTAGTGATATCTTACTTTCCATTATGGACAACACGCTTCACCTGTTTCTTCTCCGTGTTCACTAGCCCTCCTATCCCGAGCGAAGAGACGGCAAAAAAGCATCATTGTAGCCGCATAACATGCATGCTTCTAGCTAGCCCTATTTGCTACGTAACAATAAAACAAGATAACCAAATTATGAATGGAAACTAGCAATTCGTACTATATTGAAAAGGTTCACGAGACATAACGTAGAAAAATAATAATATTAAGAAAGGCATATTGATGGCAAGTTTTATTCATTCCCTTTTGGTATAATTAGGTGTATGTGAAGAGAAGAAGTGTATAAGCAAGAGCCAATTTTATGAAATGGATAGAAACACATGCAAGGAAATGGACCAACAGAATTGTAACAATAGGAATATGAATTGACTAAACGTGAGAAGAAGAAAAAACATACAATACTATACTATATAGTCGACAAAAGGAAAATAGATATGAATTAAGAGGAATTTGAATCACAGCTGGATCTATTGTCTCTTTCTTTGTTCACTACTATATTCTTACTTGCTTGCTTCAAAGTTGGGACCATTATATTTAGCCTTCTAATTAAACATTTTCATATTCTTCTCAAAACATACATCAATCATCTCAACAAAATCCATAACAAAAAACCAATTGTAATATACATGTGAAACACTTAATAAATATACACTAGGTTGAGGCTTTGTAATCGCAACAATTTTTTTTTTAAAAAATCCGTCAATACAATACGTAATTAGCTAGGTTTGATCAGATATAAATATATAGTCAAGTACACACATACCAAAAAAAACAGGGACGTTTGATCGAATGTAATAACTTTGGTCCGAACTCTATAATTGTAATCTTAAGAATTATTCACTTTATATACACAAATTACATTAATTTATAACTCAATAACTTAATAGAATTATAATCCCGATATATATAACCTTTGCTCCACCTCAGCTGCCAAAAATATGTATGTATAATAGCACCATATAATTTGTCAAAAAGATATAATGAGTATATAAAAATTTACACGCCAGACAATTTAAAACTTGTACTCTGATTTCTACTCCTCTTCTTTCATATTAATTTTTAATTTTCGATTCATTAATTCTTTTGCCATTGGTACTAAAGTGGTCGATTGAATATATTCTTAAGGAGGAAAGAAAATGGAATTTTCTATTTCTTAGAAGTAAAAATGAATATCTCAAACAATACATAAAATTAAAAATAAATTTATAAAAGGCTATAAAACTAAATCTCCCGAAACTAAAGGCTTGGAACGTTAGTAAGTAGTGGTCCTTCTTCTTCGAAGCTTCCGCCTTCTCAATTTTGAACTATACCTAAGTGGAAATTTCACTTTAGCAAAATTAATGAACTTTTCTTTTTGGCTTTATCTTTTTATCCTTAAATTCCCTTCTTCTGTTTTTTGAATACAAGATGTAAATAAATAAACAACTGACAAACTAAAGAAAATTAAACATATAATTAGAGTTATGTCAGATTGATTAATTAGTCTTAATATTATATGTTTAATGGGTGAAGTCATGATGATCATGATTCAAATTACTTGAATTTGCACAGGCACCAACACGTCTTCACTGGTTTTGAAAATGTTTTTCTTGATTAATCATACTCTAGTTTTTTTCACACACGTCGAGATCTATCAAAAGCAGTCTATCTACCCTACATAAGATGAGGGTAAATTATACGTACACTTTACTCTCTTCAGACTCCACTTGTGTCAGATCACGTTTGATCTGTTGTAGATAAATATCATAATTGACGGAAAATGCAAGCAACCCAAGATAGCTATATAGCTACATGAATTATTAAGATGGTACCAATAAATTGCAAAAGCATGCATGTCCCTCAAGTTTTTTTAGGTACACAAAAACGTGCATGTCCCTTAGCTTACACAAAATCATACGTATAAGTCCCTTACACAAAAGGCTTATCGTCGTCGTTGCTCTTTCCTCCTCCTTTATTTGTTGATGTTTCACCAACAAAAAGAAAATGAAAGCATCAATAAAAATAATAAATTGATGTCTTAATTAAATATAAGATAGAGATCGAAATTAGGACAAATATCACTTTTATCTTTCTACTAAAATTAATTTGCTAACAAACTTCAAGATCAATGAGTTTAACTTAATACCTCATGTGGTGCTCAATTATATTTCTGCTGAAAATTATTACTCAAAAAAAAAATCAGTGTATGTTTAGATCAAAGTATATATATTAATAATTAATTAGATGAGTAATGAATAAACGAAAGGATATGTCCCACTAAATTAAATTTTCTGTATTAGAGAAGAGGTACTACAAGCAATTCACCTTATAGGGGATTGGTCTTGTATACTAAACTAAACTTGGCTAGAAAATTGCATCTTTAATATTCATAATTAAACTTACTTTGTCCTAAATGTTCCAAATAATAGTAGCAAAGGTGGAGGAGTAGGTAAATGTAACAGCTATTAATCATGACAAGTTGGTGAGAAAATTGTCTTATGTAGTGTAAGAACCTCACTTGTCTAGTGTCAACAAATTTGTGAAGCTAAATTCCAAAACTCCATTTGTAATATGACAAATAGAAGCCTCCAACTGAGATTTATTTTCACCGTCATATATTCTTGTATAAAAATTAAACTACACTATAAAGTATTAATATACGCAGCTCAAATATATATTTGAAATATTGATGAGATGAAAAAAGAACAAAACTCATTAATATGTTTTGTTAGGTCATTCTCATCGCGTTTTGCTCATTGAAATGTCCCATTCACTCCCAACTAGAATCAGAATGGGAAAAAATTGTCTATGTAAATAAGTTGATATATAATTGGAAAGAATATATCAAGGTAATTAAATTCAAATTTTAATAGCAATATCTTGAGTACAATAATAGTTTAAAGATGGAAAATAGAAAAAAGGCACAAAGTGACAATAAGGTCCATAAGGAGATTTTGTCTGGTAGAGTATTGATGCATCATTTTCCTTCTTGGTGCAATACTCCCAAACATCTTTAATGCGGTGTATAGACTAATCTCAATCTCTGTCCACCTTTATCCAACAAACAAATACTACTACTATTACTATATATTAAAAATCTTTTTCTTCTTTAACTGCTGATTAATATTTTTTTCTTTTTCTTGTACAACTCATGTTGGTGGGTACTTTAATTTCTTCTGTAATGTGAAATACTGGTACATAAGACCACAAAGTAGTCTAAAGTTCCTTAGAAATATCATGAGATTCATGAACTTAGAATAGTGATATAATGATGACGTCTCCAATTTAGAGGGAAAAAAAATGTTCAAGTGAATATGCGACACATTAAAAAACAAAGGATGAAATTAGAGATCTCGAATTTTAATGACTTTGAAAACAAATAAACTTATAGTAAAGAATGTTCTCTTTTAATGGGTCCAACATAATGTATATCTAAATTAGTCGAACCAATGAGTATAATGATAGAATAAGTCATCACATGGTTATAAATGTCAACTGAAGCCATCTCTCTTTGATAATTGACCCAAGGAGAAAACACAAAATAGTATGCCCAGAATAGCCTAAATTTACAACGTTTTAAATTTAGTCACCTCAGAATCAAAGTTGTAAAGACGGGTTTGAAGTTATAACTTCAGAAGAAGAAGCGGGGGAGGTTGTAAACTGTAAAGTATGGCTAAACTTCAAATAAGTTATAAAATGGGCTATGTTTTAAACAGTGTCATCACAAGCGGCTACCTGGTGCCATTCCTACCAAAGAAAGGAAAAGAAACTATTACACCAAACTACAGAAAAGCTTCATGCAGGGGAAGAGAAGAAGCTCAAGCTGAGAAATTCCAATGAAATCAAGCGACGCAACAAAGGGCACATGTAGATACACATGGAAAGACAAAAATACCCCTCGCCGAAGCAGTTATGTCGAAGAAGAGACATGTGCAATAGCAGAGAAGAACTAAGATTTTTATCATATTCTTCTTCAAGATGGACCAAATAGGCATTCCCATGTTGGAACAAAAAAAATTAGATGAATTATAAGAATAGGCCCAACAAAAACTTGAGTTTGTTAATGTAGCACAATAATTGCAGTGATCCATAAGTATCTAGAGATGAAAGAAATGAAAAACTTAGAGTTGGATTCAATTGAAATAGCAAACCCTTGTAATCATGAAATTCTCCAAGGTCATCAAATAAAAATTTACAAAGTGAAGACAATAATAAACTTCAACAGACATTTAACTTTAAGAGCATGGCTAGGAGTTGAAGGAACATGAAATTCTCCAAGGTTGTTTACATAATCAAGTAAAGTCAGAATTAAGACAATATGTATGATGGATCCAGCAGACTAGACCAATTACAGGTCCCTTTTTCCTCAAGCCTACTCAGAGAATCATAAAATGAACAACTCAGTGGAGTCAGTAACTTTTATGAAAACATGATGAAGTGTTCACCCATAACTTTGATGAGTCCAATGCAACTATGTTTTATTGTGTCGATTAAATTCACCAAGTGAACTCTAATTGGAAAATGGTTTCTAAGGGACTAAGCCCCGATATTTAAAGAAAGCAGAGACGGTTGCAAACTTTCATAAGAAAATATTAGGAAAAAATGTCCAAACATGTTGCAGCACAAAAAAACTAGACGACGTATCCATCTGAGCCTATGCAGTCACAGGAATAGTGGCAGTTGCTTTCTGGGGTTTCTTGGAACAAAAAAGATTCAAAACATCTGCATGGTTCCTAATGTATCTCGGACATATTGCAAGGAAGTCCTGTGCTTCACTTCGCCTTCCTGCTTTAAAGTATGCTTCAAACAAATTGAGAAACACAGAAGTTGATGGAAGTTTCTTCAGGGTCACTGCTGCAGTAAATTCAAGTGCATCATCAGCACTTCCAGTCTTTGAAAGGTACTTGATGAAGGGATTCAGAAAAGGTGGGTAATCTTGACTTTTCATCAAATGTAGAACATCCAGAGCTTCCTCGAAACCTCGTTGGGCCAATAATTTTCCTATCAAGAACTTATATGTGGTATGCCACACATGTAGTTCTTTCTCATTGACCATCTTCTCAACAAGATTGAATGCGTGAATCGCTCTTCTCTTGCGGCAGTGCAAGGACACTAAGAGCTCTAAAGCATACCCAGCATGGGATGACCCTTCCTTTTCGATCATCATTTCAAATGCTTCTGAAGCTTTAGCCAGATCACCCGCTTCACAGTATCCTTCAATTAAAGATGTCCATGTTTTAGAATTTGGAGTAGAGACAGTTGATTCTATATAATTCATAAACTCATTGGATTCCTTATCCTTCCCACCACTACCCAAATTAAAAGCAATTTTCCTCTGCTGATTATGACTAGGTGTGAAACCAGCATCCTCCATTGCTTTCAATATCTTGTTACATTCGCCAAATCTATCAACACTGGTCAAAGACTTGAGAATGGCATCGAGGTTAGCACTAGTCAATGAATTGCCACTTTCTGTGAAGACCCTTAAAACTTTTGAGAACAATTCCAAATCAAGCTCCTTGCTAACAACTATTTTCTTCAATAGAAAAGTGCAGTCCTCCGAGGATGGCTTGTTTATGCCAACCATTGCAAACTCATATAAGTTCACGGCATCCTTAATCATTTTCCTCTTAACAAAGTTATCCAGAACCCTAATATATGTTTCTTTTTCCATTTCAAATCCTGCAGTTCTCATTTCATCAACTAACTTCCAGAACTTCTCACTGAACTCTTCCCTACCTAAGACCCTTGCGATAGCATTAAATGTCTGCTCATTGTGTTTAAATAGACCACTCTCTTCAATCCACCTAAAGTATATCAAAGCCTTATTAGTTTCACATTCAAGCTTCTCTAAAACCATACTGATCAATTCACTCGAGAACTCGAATTTTGACTCTCGCAGCTGCTTTTCCACATCATCTCCCCATACATTTCCTCGAATCAATTTGCAAACCCTAGAACAAACTTCCTCGCTCGAATTGTCGGCCAGCTCAGAACCATACAACTTTTTTAGCTTCTCCAGGTCGCCGCTCAGCTTCTCCTTCTCAAATTTCTCAATAGCCCGATTAAACGTACCCCTGGACACTCCATACCCTTTACTTTTCATGATTTCAACCATAATCCAAAACTCTTTGACAAACCCATTAGACCCCAATATCCCCAACATATAATTATACACCTTTGAACTCAACCTCTCGCTCTCATTCTCCTTAACCCAGTTAAATAACTTATGTGCCGCATCAGGGGCGGTATTAAAGCTCCTTAACGCTCTTATAACCAAATCATGCGTGACAGTAACATTATTAGACTCTAAATCAAGCTTAATTTCTTCATTACTCCGGTTTGGTTTAGAGAAAATACCAGTTAAAACAGCGATTTGATCTGAATCTTTGTGTTCGACAGCCAATTCAGATGTGGAGAAACTACGAACGGTGAGTGATTGGTAAGGGAGCATGTGAGATGTACGTGAGTGGATAGTTGAAGAAGCGATAGTACTAACAGATCGATTTACCTGAAACGGAGATTGATTGATGTGGTGCCTGGAAATGTGAGGCTGAGCTAGAGAATGGTGCCGGAGAAGAAGGAGAAGCCATCGCTGTTGATTTCGCATTCTTCTTGGTAGATTCCGATTGCTTAATTGATCAAAACTGAAAAGAGTTTCGGCTGGTTTTTTGGGAATGAACAAAGAGGATTTTGGTAGGGTTTAGGGATGAGAAGAGAAAACTCAGATGGACTGAGTTCGAACAGATTCGGGTCAAATGGAGTGTATCCAAGATCCGAAATGTTGTTTTTTAGATTTGGATTAATTAGGGTTATGATCCTAGAAAATTGATTTCTTTTAAATTGGAAATCGACACATATACAAATACCAATGTTAACAATTTTTACCATATTTTAATACAAGTATAATTTCAAAGATATTCCATCAAATTTAATCTTATAATACTTTTACTTTTAAATGAGTTATGTCGATTAATTTTGTCACTTATTATTGAGTTAGATCAACGCAAATTATTTTATTAATAATACAAATGAGAGTGTAAATTATTAATCAATTTTGATAAACATTTACCCAAATGTTTATATGAATTATTCTAATTTATAATAAAGTCTTATTTATGTACAATTTCAGATTTTCATTCAAGTAAGCATAAGAAAATGCATTTTTTCTCTTTCCTTTGATTTTTCAACTATGCATAAATCCACATGCAAATCCTAATGTTTATTAATGATTTTTATGGCCTCAAACCATTCAAACAATTATCAAGAAATTACTGTATAAAATTATTGAATTATATTTTGCTTTGATCCTGATTTTGTTATTCGGACTTTTTTTTGTATCAAAAATATCAATTCTTCCATTTCATTTTTTCATTTAAGCTGATATAATTGTGTGCTAACAAGCGTTTCATCAATTATAATCTTAACGTTCATGCTTGATATAAAAAATAGAAATAAATGATTTTACAAAAAAATGCTACCAAAACAAATTATTTCGGTTGAAATACATTATTTCTTATTAACAAATAGAGTGTGTAAAAATTGACCATGGATAAGTTAACTATCGATGTAAAGGATATTAGCTACTGTAGTATTTATTTTGCAAATATGAAAAGCACTTTTTAGTTAACTTAAAATATTTGCAAAACTTAAAAAACAATTTAAAAAAAGGTGTTGAAGTTGCAACTTAAAAAACTACATTCATCCAATGTTTGTAGTTAAAAACAGTTTTTTAGAAAGAAAAAATTACCTTCGAAAAAAACACTTGTTTGACATAAAAGGAAACTTTAGTTGTCTTTATGCTATAGTGTGATGTGAGCAAGGTTTGATAATTGTTGAAATATTCTATATTAATTGTTTCATGTACATTACGATATGATAATATATTTTTAATCCAAAATATTAAATATTTTTTCATTTTTTGATGTCCAAAACTTTAATTTCATTGAACTTTGATTAATCATCTTATATCTAGTCTTTCCATAATTTAGGAAGACAAATTGCATTTTAATTTTCAATATTATCACATGATTCATGAATTCTAACTTAAAATTTAGGAGCTAAATTATATATCTTTGATGTGATGTAGCTGGAAAGATTGATTAAATTTGACTTTGATAAATTAAAAGCATTAAATAAATTAAAACAATAGAATTATAATCATATCATCTCGGAAATGCAAAGTTTAGAGATTCAACAAAATTAAACACTTTTGTTAGATTAAAAGAAGAAAAGAAATAAGAAAGTTGTGGCAATGTGACCTATACACAACTTTTTTTTTATTCTTCTTTAATTCACAAATAAGAAACCTCTAAAAAAAATACTCAATCCTAAATAAGAAAAAATGCTTTCCTAATTTGAAATAACAATAAAATTTCAAATTATTTTAGAGGGGATTTAGAAAAAGAGCCAATATGGCTGCAATTGAAATTAAGATTTCATTTGTTCAATCCAGTGGCATTTTTAACTGCCTCTGCCGCTCCTTGTGCCTTGGCTTGCACTTGTTGTCCCGCCTACAAAATTATCAATCAAATATAACACAAACACATTACTTTTTGATCTTATGAATAGCTAAATAAATTATAAGAATAAGACTTTAGTGATGTGTATATATATAACGATATATCAATGATCAAACCTCTTGAAGTGATTCCTTAGCAGACTGTGCAATATTAGCAGCACTGTTCATCATTTGATTACCTTTTTCCTATCACATAATAATATATATCACGTGTCATCAGAGACAAAGCTACATGATCCAAACATAGAGAATGAATTCTACTTGTTTGAGTCATACATGTTTATATGGCAACCTTTTTTTTTTCTCTCTTCAAACTCACTCATAAAAATTTATATTTTTTGCAATTATCTACAAGTATGCTAATGAAAAAGTAAATGTGTAAATAATTATAGCATATAGATTACCTGGGCTTGGCCCTTGGCTTGGCCAGCTTGGTAGCTCAAATTCTGGGAGTTATCCATGATTTTGTGATTAAAATTGAGTAACTAGTGTTACAAACTCGGAAAAATCAAACTATTGTTTAAAGAACTTAAAATTGCTTGTTTATGTATTGTTTTAGAAAGTTTGGGGTATTTATAGATCTTGAAATCCATTCAGTGCTTGACATTTGTTAATTTTGGTTGAAGGGTAAGACATTCATGCCTCAATATAGGGAAGAAGTTGCATAAACTTAGTTTATTTTGAGGTTAATTATTTTGTGTATATTACAACAATAATATATTCAATGAAATATGGATCTGAAAATGATAAAAAAAAAACACAAACTTTATTAGTACTATTTTGTGGAGATAGAGATTTTTTTTTTTGTGTGTGTGTGTATATTGTTATATGATAATATAACCTATCCAAATGTTTAATATTTTTTCATTTTCTGATGTGCAAGACTTCAAATTGATTAAACTTTGATTAATTATTTATATATCGAGTCCTTCCATAATTTAATAGAAGACAAATTGCATTCCAACTTCAATACTTGTTTTATGATTTAGGAATGTCTAACTTCAAATTTTCAATATATATATATATATATATATATATATATATAAATAAAATGATGTAATACTTTTCTAAGGCTTTCAATTGCATTATTCTTTTTTTTTCTTTCGGCCTTTCTCATATTCAAATTAAGTAATTCTTACATTTGGGTTAGGAACTAATCCAATTGCATTAATCTATTTTTTTTTTCTTTTGTCCTATTCTAGTAGCGTCTCCTCTCTCCAGTGACCATTGATAGGATATTGTTAGTAGTTTCTACATATGCTATAGAGCTATTGGATATACAAATAAATTACTCAATTTATTATAAATAATTATTTTATTAATGAAAGAATATTTATAATAAAAACTTTTCACATGTCAATATTTATAATGAGTAATAATTTATACCTCTTTTAACTTTTTCTCTTTATAAAAGCACTTCACGTCATATATAGCTAATTAAATCTGTCAAATAACCTTTTTAAATAGTTGAGTGCTAAAACTATTCTAGTGATTCTTTATAGTGTTCAATCCAAATATATCAAATTTCAAGTATTAATTTATTTTGCAAAAATGAAAAGCATTTTTACGTAATTTAAAATATTTGCAAAACTTAAAAAACATTTTTTTTAAAAATGGTGTTGAAGTTGCAACTAAAAAGAATCTACATTTACTCAATGTTTGAAGAATTGAAAAACAGTTTTCTAGAAAGAAAAATTACTATTGGAAAAAAAACTTGTTTGATATAAAAGGGAACTTTAATCATCTTTATACGATAAAGTGATGAGAGCAAGGTTTGATAATGGTTGAAATATTCTACATTAATTATTTCATATATATTGCGATATAATGATATTCTTTTATTCAAACATTTAATATTCTTTCATTTTCTGATGTCCAAAACTTCAAATTGACTGAACTTTGATTAATCATTCGTATATTTAGTCTTTTCATAATTTAATAGGAGACAAATTGCGTTTCAATTTGAATGTCTAACCTAAATTTATAGCTGAAAAGATTGATAAAATTTGATTTCGATAAATTAAAGCATTAAAAAAATTAAAACAACAAAGTTATAACCATATTATCTCAGCAATCCAAAATTTGCAGATTCAACAAAATCAAACACTTTTATTAGATTAAAAGAAAGAAGAAATTAAGAAAGTTGTGACAATGTTACCTATACACAACTTTTTCTTTTTCTTCTTTAATTCAGAAATAAGAATCCTCTCAAGAATACTAAAATCCCAAATAAGAGAAATTGCTTTCCTAATTTGAAATAACAACAAAATTTCTAATTATTTTAGAGGGGATTAAAAAAAAAAGAGCCCATCTGGCTCTGCAACGGAGATTAGAATTTCATTTGTTTAAGCCAGTAGCATTTTTAACTGCATCTGCCGCTCCTTGTGCCTTGGCCTGCACTTGTTGTCCCGCCTACAAAATTATCAATCAAATATAACACAAACACATTATTTTTTTTATCTTATGAATAGCTAAAAAAATATAAGAATAAAACTTTACTGACATGTACATATATAATGAAATTTCAGTGGACAAACCTCTTGTAATGATTCCTTAGCAGATTGTGCAGCATTGGCAGCCCTGTCCATCATTTGGTTACCCTTTTCCTGTCATATAACAATATATATTAAGTGTCACTATGGGCAAAGCTACATAATCATTATATAGAGAACGAATTCTACTTGTTTGAGAATTGTAACACAAATAGACTATAAATAATTTTGTTTATATATACATAAATTGTTGAGTCCCTTTTGACATAAGGAAAATGCGCAAAGGTGATCCGAAAATTGCTTTTATATGTCGTAGGTTCGAGTCATACATATTGCTATTATAATAAAAAAAAATTCAAATCCACTCATTGAAATATCTAATTTCGATAATTATGTACAAACATGTAAAAGAAAAAGTGAATGTGCAAATAATTATAGCATATAGATTACCTGGGCTTGGCCCTTGGCTTGACCAGCTTGGTAGCTCAAATTCTGAGAGTTATCCATGATTTTATGATTAAAATTTAGCAATTAGTGTTATAAACTCAGAGAAATCAAACTATTTTTGAAAGAAGTTGGAATTGCTTGTTGATGTATTGTTTTAGAAAAATTGGGGTATTTATAGATCTTGAAATCCATTCAGTGCTTGACATTTGTTAATCTTGGTCGAAGGGTAAGACATATTTCAGGCCTCAATATGGGGAAGAAGTTGCATAAACTTAGTCTATTTTGAGGTTAATTATTTTGTGTATATTATAACAATAATATATTTAATGAAATCTA